ATACTCAGAGTCTTAGGGTTATAAAGTTAGGGTTAGTGTTATGTTAGAGTTAGGATTATTTTCTAATAGGATGAATCTTTGGGGAGGGTTAGTTCCTGATAATTGTTGGGTTATATATAGGGGTCGGTGTACTGGGAAGATGAGGTTTATGCAGAAAAAGAACAGATGTGAAAAACAACAACAACAAAAAAATGAAACCATAAAAACAAAGAATTTTCCTGGATGTAAAGGATGTAGCATTCAGTTAAGGACATTATCCAACTGGATAGAAGAGCCATTCCAAGCCAAGTACTTTCTAAAAGAGATGAACTTCATATGTACATGAAATTTTAAAAACAGTAAATCAATGTGGAAACATTCCAAAAAGGAGTAAGAATCACAATGCAAATACCATAATTAGAAGTGCTGTAACGGCTGTATTGATATCAGTTGAAACAGAGTTAAAGAGAAAGACTGTGAGCATACGAAGTATTACATTTAGTAAAGAAGATCCACAGATATCAGTGGGTAAGATGTGCCACTTGATTCGAGGAAAAATGTGATATCATGTAGGAGAGCAACTCAATAAATGAAAAGCCTTTTTGGTAGCTAGATATTATTATGGAAAATGTCCTACATCTGTACTCCTGAGATAATATTGAAGCCTGCACAAATATTTTAGGAAAATATTCTTTTTGTCCTGTATGTTTTAAGAGTACTTTTGTACTGTATATAAAGGAAGCTCTAGAGGCAGAAATAGTTTACAGAATGAAAAGTACCATAATAATTTAAAGATGAAACGAGCAAAACTCTGAAAATTTAAACCTTTTTCAGAAATACACATTTGCAAAAAAAATGAGGTATGAGCAGCAGTGTGCAGAAAATGGTAGTGGTGAGCTTTTCTGTTGTGTCTTCTAGGACTTGGGCAGTAAGGAAGGTGCTATTGTTAAGTGACTCAGAGAAGCAGATATCAAGGAAAACAGTAAAACATGAGTAAGCACAAGGTTTCCCATAGCAGGAGGAGAGAGCCCCCCACCTGCTGGAGAATCCAACCCTTTCAGTTGGTTCAATTTTATGAGTGGAATGAGGTTTTGGGGAAGTTATTTTCCATTTAGATCAAACCTTGAAAACTGCTAAGATGTAGTCTTAAAAATCTGTGAGAATTTAAAGAATGTGATGGATGCCTGTGCTTTAGAGGACATAATGAAATGGGAACTAATTCACCCCCGTGACCATCTCAGTGATGGCATCAGGAATTTGAGCACATTATCATTGGTATCCAAACCATATAGCATGATTTATTTGTTACACATTGCAGAACCTGGAATCAGGTAGCAGTGAGCCTGTGGAAAACCATCTGAGTTTACCTGATCATGGTTTTCCTTTAGATAAGGTGATGTTTGTTTAAGCCATTCAGATACAGTGATATTATCTATGATTGCAACTATGGGAGTGTCATGGTAGGGAAGTGAAATGTTCCATAAAACTAAAGGTTTTGTTGAGAGTCGATGGGGTTTTTGGAAAATGATCAGATAATCAAGGCAGCAAGAATAGGTGGATGTCATTATAGGCAGGTGATGGATAAAGGCAATAGCCTTATTGGGTCATGGGGGTGAACATGAGGCATATATGTGTTCCCCGAATTTTTCCTGTCTGACTCCTGGACTCTTCTTTGGTGCCTGGTTGCCATGCTGAGACACTTTCCTCTTCCTGGCCTTTTCTGCTCTTTCTGACTTCCTGCAGGTCTAAAGTGAGAAAAGGTAGGCCATGGACTGCAACCTGTGGATTGTGAACCAAAATAAGCTTTTTGTCTTTCAAATTATTTATGTCAGGTTCTCACACAACTAGTGACATTTTAAAATCTAAGGAAATTTTATGCAATTTGTACTTGTGAAAAATAATAGCATTTTATTTTTTAACTTGAATTAGAAATATTATTACAGATATTTAATAGAGTGACACTCTATTTATATTTAGATTAATCTATCTTTTATTCATGTTAGCATTAAATTGTGTTTATACCTTTGAAAATGACTGTATGCATGTTTTTCAATGAATTCTAGTTTTATGCAGCTCACTCAGTTTTCTCATATAAGACATAACTATCACATGTAATTCTTGTTGATTTATGTTTTCATCAGTAAAATATTCTATAAATATGCAGAAATTTTTGCAAATCTTTCTAACATACTACCCAATATCTTATTTTTTCATTTTGTTTTGACCTTTTTGTTAATTCATTTAGCAATAAAATATTCTCTCATTTGGATGAATGCATAATAAACCTGTTAGAAATTTTTATAATAGGGTTAGTTCTTCTTTAGTTCATCCATGTGTATACAGATCTGGGTTTGGGTTACTACTGAGGGCAGTAAATCGGTGTCACTGGAAACATTTAAATCAGAGCTAAACAACCAGGCCATTGGGATTTTATATGTAGAAGTAAATGAGGATTTTGTTCAGGGAGATTCTCAAAGATCCTTCTCCTGCCCACAGTTCTGGTGAATGTGATGGCTGTGTGGCTTCTCCAGGTGTCCATGCACTGTAGAAGAAGAGCTGAGCTTCCTAGGAATGCTGCGTTCCGCTTCTCCAAAGACCCCACTGTTCTGCTGTCATTCATCATATGCTATCAGGTGTTGGTTGGAGCTGGTTGGGCATTTATCCAGGTATTGGTGAGTAAGAGTGGTTTTGAGTGCTCCTTCTACTTGTGTAAAACATATAAACATAAATGTAGATCATGTAAACAATTAATTATCATATGTCAGGAGAGAGAAGAAAATGAATGACTCAGAGATCTCAAAGTGTAATACATTTTATGCACCAGTAGAAGATGTAAAACGTTCATTGCAGAGGGGCAGAAATATAAGAATAGGGAATGAAAAAGTAATTTTTAAAAGACCAAGGATAACTCAGCATTTATTATATTGTATAATTCATCTAGTTATTTAAATGCATTACATAAATTCATTCTCTCAGCAACTCTGAAAAGCCGCTATGCATCATTAACTCTTTCTTACATCTGAAAACAACACTGGATATGTAGTAAGTTCCATGAAGTCAACAGCCATTGAGTAGCAGACCTGGGTCTGACTTACAGGGTCCATTTCACTTTGTTGCCTTCTGCATATATTTGATTTGGTAAAAGGAAATTCAAATTTCATGCAATTTTCTTTTTCCCATTCTGTCTGTTATGGCCAGGGAAATAGCCTTTTAGTTTCTCTGATCTTTGAAGGCTTGGAAGTGAACAATGTAGATATTTCTTAGGTAATTCTGTTGCATAACTGAGCAGCTATAGCTCAACTCAGTCCACAATTAAGAGTCATGGATCCACTAGGGAGGGAAAGAGAAAGCACTGTACAACTCAGGGGTTACACAGCAGGAGCATATGTGTGTGTCTTTTCATTGGTTGGATGAATATGTACTGAATTGCACGAGTGAGTGTAATCAGTGTAAACAAACAAAGTCAAACCCAGACAAAACAAAACGCAAGGAAACAGCATCTGCTCCCTAAACTTCCAGAGAGAAAAGGTGCATCTGCCTAAATTGGTTTACTGCTTGTTTTTTTCTTAGGGTTGCAGCCATTTGTCAAAGATATTCCCCTAAATCCAGGGATTTAAAAGTGGTGAAAGTCTTGTATCTTGGTTTGAATTTCCACATAGAATATAATCAATCACAGCAAAGAATGGGATCCCAGTAATACAAAACTTATCCCAGGAGTTTATTAAATACTTATATTAGCTACTGTTCAGTTCTTTCTCCTGCTGTGAATGTGCAGATCATTTCATACATTAGGGCAATCAGGAAACAGAATGAAGATAATTGCAGGGGGAAAATTATTGGAAGAATTTATTTCTGATAAAGAAATTATATCCATAATACACAAAGAAATTTAAAAACTCAATAATAAGAAAAGAAATCATGAAATCAAAATCCATTCTTTTTTTTTTTTTTTGGTACTGTGATTAAACTCATGCCTGCATGCTTGCAAGGGCAGGCACTTATGCCATTGAGGTAAGTCCTAGGCCCGAAACCATGCAATCAAGAACAGGTTTGAGATATGTGGTGAAGGAGGTGTATGAGCACCAAGTAGATGCATAAAGTTTCAGATGAACGTATACTCATAACTTCAAAGATATTCAATGCTTATCTCATGGCACTGATGCATTGCAGATTATCTCTAACCTCCTGGGAAAAACGATTTCATTTCCACAGTACATCACTCACTAAGGCCCTGCGATGAAATCCAAAGTCAGGGTTTGAGTAAGAGAAAAAAGAAAAAAACCTTAATATTTGCAGTTTTGTGTAGCTAATGTTCTTCCTGGCTGACATCTGAAGAAACGGCAGAATGTTGAGAAAGTGTGTAGGAACAATTGTGTGTAACAGAGTTATTTAACGGGGCCAGCAAAATATTTTTTTGGTGGAAATAAAAACATAAGAAAGCATTGCAGGTTTCTGTGGCTTGAGTTTTCAAGTCTATATGGAAGGAATAGGAGAGCCAGAGCATGTTTGACAGTGACAGAGAAATAGCATGCAGCTACTGACAAAAGAAAAACACACACACATGATTTTCAGTTTGCAGTTGCCAGCGATGGATGAAGTGAGTGTTAAATGTCCATGAATCAAGGGATAAATTGCTGGTAAAAGGAACAGGAGAATGATGCACAGCTCAGGATTCTCTTTGAATCCCTCAGTCTGAATACAGTAACTTCCCTGATACTCTTTATGGTGAAATCTCAGAGAACAAAATGGAAGATAGCCAAAACTTACAGTTTATCCTTTTATCAAATTGTGATGACCACCGTGATCGTCAAGGGTATGAACAATGTCCATGTGTATTTGTGTGTGTACGGTGTGTGTGTGTGTGTGTGTGTGTGTGTGTGTGCAGGGTGTGTGTACATGTGTGTATTCTAGCACATGTATTTTATGAAATTCCTTTCCTCTTCATAAAATAGAATGAACCAAATGTTGAACGTGGCAAACATTTATCTTCTAGTGTTAGACTCCTGCTTGTCCTTCCTTCAGGTTATCTTCACCGTCAGGAGAAGGAACACACAGGCACAACTAGGAGACCCATGTCTACCTCTGCAAATGTAAGTTCAGTATTTTTTCTGCTTTGTGTTTGCCAGAAGACAGTTGGTGCTTACTTCCTATGCATGACTTTCTTTCCTTGTGACTGGGACAAAGCAGTTGACAGCAGAGAAGTGGTAAAGTTTGCTATGTTTCACAGTGTCAGTCCCTGGTGAGCTGGTTGCAAGCTAGAAACAGGGTAATGGAGGGCATCGTGGAAGAAAGGCTGCTCTCCTCATGAAGACCAGGAAGCAGGGGGAGAAGGGAGGAGCCAGAGAGAGACATCCATTCCCCCAGGTTCATGGGCCCAGTGGTCAGGCTCCTAGCTATAAGTATCTCTGTGATTTCCTCACATTCTAAAAGCCCAGCCTATAAGTGTAAGAGATGTTAAGAGGGTATTCCAGATCTCAACCATTATTATTCAAAGATTAACTAAAGTACAGGTTACATAGATGAAGTGACCATATTTGTGTGAATTTACTAGACTGTGTTAATTTGATACATGCATGTGGATAGCTATTAACTCAGCTGTGATAGCATATATATCAAAATACACCTTTATCATTCCTTTGCAGTATATAACTTGTAATCTCTTTCACTGTTTGATAAATGATATGGAATATGTGAAAAATAGTACTCAATTCCAATATTTGAACATTTTATTATTCTAATTTTATTGATTGAATTTATTTTTATCTCTACTGCTAATTTTACTAGCTCCCTTTCTTAAATTCCGTGTGCTTCACAGTGCTAAAATACAATTCCATTTACTCTGAGGGTGTCACTTTACTTTTCACTTTTGTATTTTAGTTGGTTTTCTCTTATTCTTTCATATTGCATCAGTAAAGTGAGTTTTCCCCTTTAATAGGTGAATGCAACATGATTTTCTGAATTATTTTTAAAATATATATTAGGTAACATTATTATACATCTGAAATGTTAATTTCATATTCTACTCTGGCCTATTCCACTTCTCATCACTTCTCATTTTTATTCTCTGTGTCATTAATCTAGCGCATCCAGTATGTCCTATGATTCTGATACTATTACTTGTGATTCATCTTAAATTGAGAATTTCAGTTGAATTTTTTTCAGTTGTATTTCTAATAAGTCTATTTGTGCATTGACTTCTAGGAATTCTTAGTTTATTTTCCCTAATTCTCTTTTTCTACTGCAGCAGTGTATCATATGTTGCATAATGATTTCCTCTTGGAATCATTCAGTTCTCTATTGTATCTTATTTGACCTCATTAAATAATAAATTATTTGATTAATTCAGCTCCTTATTTGTATCATCTTTAATGTAATTGATTGTTTTCAGTATTCTGGTTTCAAATTCTTTGATATTTCAATTGTGATATCAGTAGAATTGGTTTTAGAGAACTGCAAATATTGTGAATCTGTTTTCTTGGCTCTCTGATGAATCTAGTGTGTGTGAGTTTATGTGTCTGTGAGAGACAGACAGAGAGAGAGAGAGAGAGACAGAGAGACAGAGAGAGAGACAGAGAGACAGAGACAGAGACAGAGACAGAGAAAGAATGTGTGTGAGTGTAATATGTTGAAGTTTGAGGATCACTGGGGTTGGAGAGTGAAAGACCTATTGTGCATAAACCTTTTGAGGAAGTGCCTTATTCATTGTGATGTTTCTTAGGCTGTCAGGGTCCCAGCAGGAAACAATGCAGTCAACCCTTTGTTCTCCAATTTGGCACTAGATTGAGCTCTTAGCACTGTTTCTGAGGACAGAGTAACCACCAAGTATATCGGTATCTGAAAAATAATCCATAAATTCACGTGTAATTTAAAACTTCTTTGAACTATTCTCCAAGTGTTTCATTCCTCAGGAACTGACAGAGGAAGTAATAATTTGGGACCTACTAGGGGAGCAGTAGGCTTTAATGAGAATATTCTTGTATAACAGAAATGAGGGATGGAGTATGTGAGAGACTATGAAAAGAGAAGGAACAAACAAGGGAAGTGAATTTGAATGAAATGTGAGAAAAACGTAATGAGATTATCTCAGTGAATGAGCAAGCAGGTGCATGTGTCTGACAGGCTGGCAGGCAGAGGAAAGGGGTCTGTAGGCAGACAAAGGCGTCTTCAGGTTTCCTGGCTAATCCTGACAGGAGCCAGGTAAAGCTTTATTGGAGGGAACATTAAGAGTAAGGCGGGGCTGAAATACAGAGCAGTAGTTAGAGTCAAACTTGGGCAGATGCAGAAACCAGGCAGCCTGCCACTGAGAGAGCTCACCTTACTCTGAAAGCCTTCTCTTGTCACCGTCAAATACATATGAGAATAAATAATGTAATCATGTTGTTCAACTACATGCACTCTTGTTAGTGTTTATCTAACAGCATCATCAGTCATTTGAATAAGAGTTATAGTTGATATAGTAAACACCATTCATGAATATGTGAGCATTTACCCTAGGTATAGGAAGTTACGAAAAGTACTCCGTATAATACTGGAAATACACTCGCATGCACACACACACACACACACACACACACACACACACACACACGTATCCACACAGAAAATGTGATACTTAGAATCCTGCAAGAGGATCAGCAATCCTACAAGTGGTACTTCAGATTAGGAAGTAATTGTGAACTTGAAAAAGAAACAACAAACCGCTAATGAGAAATAACATTAAGAAAAAGGAATGAACAGAAGTCTAGAGTAACTTCAGGACACTATGAAAAAATCTGAGAAAACTGAGCCATCAACAGTTAATACTGTTTTCGCAATAAGAAACTGAAGAAGCCATTGGCTATGCAGTTCAAAGCATCCTGGGAAGGACAACTCTAGAAGAGTCCTCAGTATGTGCACAGAAGGAATACTAAATGCAAAAATTTTAAATTCAGTGTGAAAACACTGCATAATAATAACTTTAAAGTACTAAAGAAAACTTATACTATTGCAATTATAACTTTCAGCCACATATAATAATAACATTTATGAGAAAATAAAGAATTGGGGAAGATTGATTTATATTATGCAAAGTTTCTCATGCAGGAGGTTGTTCAATAAGGGTTGACCTATATAGTCCATGTTTACTGTTTTCCATCACCTGAGTTCAATCTCCAACACCAAAAGAGAAGTTATTTCATATATCATTATGAATACATGAAATTATTTCATATATTAAAGTGACCTTAATATATCATGAATTTTAAAATAAAAGGTCATTACTGCATGAAAAAAGGAAACATATCAAGAATAAAGATATCACCAAATCTTCAAAAAACTTAAAATGGAAAGTAAAATATAGTTTCCTGTTAATGAGTTTGATGATGAAAAAGCAAAATTCTTTAAAGGTACATTAGAAAAAGAGAGATAATAAGAGTAATTGCCTACTTCATAAGTGCAGTAATTTTATGAGAATTATTCATAGGAATGAAATATTAGTAGTAGTTTTTCCTTTGTAAAGCAAATTCTCACCTACCCTTCCCACTGGAATGATGGACAACAGATTGCATGCACTCTCTTTTCATGTGAAAGATGCTAATAAGAGTATTTAAGAAGAAAAAGATAGGGCATCCTGGGCACTGAATTACTTGCCCAAAGCAGGCAAATTGAAAATAACCTGAGCAATAGGATAAGTATGAAGCAGCAGGAAAATCAGTGACAGCCATCAACGCTGTTTTATGTCAGACGAGTCTATTTCTGAAAATTATATTGTGCTAGGAAAGCTGTTTGCTGGTGTGATTAGCCTGCCTGTAATCAGGCACCATCTGATAAGTGTTCTCTCCACTGACCTCTGTTTTAGTAAATGTAACGGCAGTATTACTTTCTACTCATTAATTATTCGGATGCAAAAACGTGTTCATAATTTGTTGCACAGCATTGTAGTTTTTAAAAAAATCATATTGTATTTCATAGCACATTGACCTTACAGCAAGAGAGACAGCATGATATCTTCAATTATTTCAGAAATAATTTCCATTTTGTGATATGTGTAGTGATATAAGAAATGAGTGGGCAAAAGGAAATAGTTCAGATGTTCCTTCTAGCCAGTAGATTGTATTATGCTTACTTACTAACATGATATAAATGCTTTGTACCCTGTGTAATAAAGGACATAACATATACCTAATTTATTTAGAATTATAAAGTTTCCTGAATTTATATATTATTTGCAGTGTCAGATTCTATTGATGTGTTTCATACCCAAAACCAACAGCAAACTTTCAAACTCATACACATACATAAAAATGAATGTAAGAGTGCTGGGGTGTAGCTCAGGGGCACAAGTGCCTGCCTGTCAAGTGTGAGTTCTTGAGTTTGATTTCCAGTACCAAAAAAAAAAAATCATGTAAGGAAGAAATCACATATAGTAAACATAACTGAAAAAAGACAACAGCATGTAAATGTATGAAACTGAAGACTTTTATGTTTTGAGAGATGAGCCCGAACATTTTAAATAATACATACATACATATTAAATTATTAATTAAATTGCAAAGAAAAACAACTAGAAATATGTACAAAGATAGCATTCATAAAATGTAGATACAAACAAATAATAAATGATAATTTTCTATAACATTCATGTAGAACAGTGTGTGATTTTGTCACTAACTCAGAAATATGAGCAATACAATAGAATGTAAAATATACAAATGAATTCATCAAAAGTTTTGAATTAGTAAAAGACTGATAAACGTCAGTCCAAATAGAGTTTTTGTATTTTACTTTGGATATGCAAAGTACAAATATAAAGTGTATTCAATATTAAGACATATTAGCTTCCTAAACTTAACAGTTTAATTTAATTTAATATTTAACTAATATTTAACTAATTTAATATTTAACTTTATTTAGAATGCAAAGTGGATAACTTCTTATCTTTTTTAAAACTTTGTAGGTTTTGTGTTTATACATTAACAAAACAGTGCTATTGCCCTACACGTTTGACATCAATCTTCTGCCATATTCTGTCATTCCAAAGTGTGGGTGAGGTGATCACTCAAAGCGAGAGACCTGCTCCTGTCCACACTCTGGCAGGAGCTCATATGCAGAT